CCTTCACTGCAATCCACTCCCAATACAACAACTGAATTTATATACGTGTGGTGGAAGAAAAAAATAAGCAAATAAAGGAAAAGGGGAAATGCAATATCCATCTAACAAAGCAAGCAATTTCGGGAATGGCCCTGAAATGGTTTTTGTGGTTCCACCATCAAAAGCGAAGGGTTCTTTTAAAATAAAAAATTTAAAAATCCAAATAAGTGGATGTTTGAATGGAGTTTTAAGATACCGGGAATATTTTTAGAATATAAGAATAGCAGAGGCAGCCTTTTATCTCAGCCCCACAAAGCAGCCAGACAAGCCACTCAGAGGAGGCTGAATGAAATCCAACTTTGCTGCTTCTTGTTTAGCCCAACACACCATTGTGTGCTGGTGATGGAACAAGCGACAAGCTTCAGGGCTCTCCCCGTGGCTCGTCTTCTTGGTTTGTTAAAATTGCAGATTCCTGCGACATCCAAACCAGGGAACTGGTTTAAGCGCTACTTACAAATCAAGGCTGCAACCCACAGTTGAATCCTAGTTTACAAGCCAGGACTATACACAGCACTTAAACCTACGGCAAACCTTTCTTTTTGAAAAAAGGCTGGGTGGTGAAGTAGTGTGGTGTAGTGGTTAGAACGTTGAATTGGGACCTGGGAGGTAAAAGGTAAAGGTAAATGGACCCCTGACTGTTAAGTTCAGTCATGGACGACTCTGGGGTTGCAGCGCTCATCTCGCTTTACTGGTAGAGGGAGCTGGCGTTTGTCCGCAGACAGCTTCTGGGTCATGTGACCAGCATGACTAAGCTGCTTCTGGCGAACGAGAGCAGCACATGGAACCACCGTTTACCTTCCCACCAGAGTGGTACCTATTTATCTACTTGCACTTTGACGTGCTTTCGAACTGCTAGGTGGGCAGGAGCAGGGACTGAGCAACGGGAGTTTACCCCGTCGCAGGGATTCGAACCACCGACCTTCTGATCGGCAAGCCCTAGGCTCAGTGGTTTAGACCACAGCACCACCCGCGTTCAAATCCCCGCTCAGGCATGAAGCTCACTGGGTGATCTTAGGCCAGTCACGGCCTCTCAGCCTGACCTACTTTACAGGGATGTTGTGGGGATTAGATGAGGAGGGGAAGGACTGTGTACACTACCAAGCTCCTTGGAGGAAAAGGTGGGATATATAGCAATAAATAAACAGACAAGTATTGTAAGATTTGAGTACAAGTAAGCTGGTTAAACACACACACATCTACCTCTGCATCTTATAATTCATAACGAATTGTGGGAAGAGAATCCTGCAGCCTAGGCAGCAGGATTTAATCTCTGCTCATTGGCTGATGAGCACAGCTGAGAGATGGGAGCAGATCCGTGAGAGGCTGAGGATTGAAAACGGAAGGGGGAGACTTGCAAAGGTCTTTGCATGTCTCCTCCTTACCTTCTAATTTCCTAATCTCAAGCAAAGGCAGAGGACTGGAGAAATCCCCTCCTCTTTCAAATGAAGGGGAAGGGAGAAAAGGAGGAATATTTTGCAAGCAAAGCCAAAAGCACCCTTTGAAACAGGCTCCTTTAAAGGAAGGGGTGGAGGCTACTTCAAAGAGTGCTTGGCAAGTCTCCCCGTGTTCCTCTTTTTAATCTCTGACACTGGTTTTACAGGGGAAGCACAGGAAGACTTGAAAAGCCACAGAGAAATGCCGACAGGTGGGAGGCCCCATGTCCCCTTGCAAAAAAAAAAAAGAGAGGAGGAAACGTGGATCTTTATTTTTCTGTTTTGAAATTGTAACACAAGCCCTTGCAGGAGAACTGCTGCGCTCATCTTTCAAAACTGTTTGTAGGCTTCATCCCCTCAGAAAGGGCAACCAGGCCTGCAATGTTCATCAACTGTGGTAGGCACTAAAAAAAAGTTAAGGAGGGTATATATTTTCCTGCACAAAGACCTCTGGGTGGATCTGACACACAAAAAATGGCAGGTGTCCTTTGCCTGCAAATTTCATCCACTTAAGTAATAAAGGAAGACATTGCAGCTGTTTTAGATTCCCTGTTATTGTCAATGAGGTGGAAACAGAACTTGAGATTTAACAAGGTATATTCAGACCTGAATAACAGATTGAACTGGAATGAAACAGAGTGGATCTGAAACATATCAAACTGCTTCCAGGAGCTACATGTACAAGAAAAAATCTATCAACTTAGAAGGAAGAGGAGGAGGAGGAAGGGCTGAGGACAGGACATAAAGATATCTGATCAGCCATCTTGCTACCAGGGTGGCATTCAGAGGAGGCCGAAGTTCCAGCCACTAGGGGGTGCTGGACTATCAAGTGCCTTAACTATGGCTAAGGAGCCATCAATGACTCAAACCTACAGAGCCACTAGTGAAATGCAGATATTCCCAGCTTGTAGGGAACAAACCAAATTCTAAGTAGCCATCTGCCAAGTGCCGCCATTATAACTGTGGTTTGTTAACTTTGGTTAATGATAACCGTGGGCTTAGCATTATGTACAGAAGACCATACTTTTGCTTGGTAATCTGAATCTGCCAGAAAGATTTAATGTTGATTTTTTATTTAAAAAAACTGCAAACTGACGTATTTCAATAATAGCTGTCAAGCATGTGGAGGGGAGACGAGAAGTATCTGCAGCTGCAGATTTTTATAAAGCCTTGAAAGCCCTCGTTTCCCAATCCCCTTCATAGCGATTGCTATTGCTGTAGCGATTGCTACAACATCCTTATCTGGAAAAGGATTCTGGCAGGCAAACGTGTTCTGTAAGAGCAGGCAAACTCGGCCTGTTTTGGGACTACAACTCCCATCATCCCTAGCTAACAGGACCAGTGGTCAGGGATGGTGGGAATTGTAGTCTCGAAACATCTGGAGGGCCGAGTTTGCCTATGCCTGTGTAAGAGGGACTGCATGAATCGAAGTGATGGACGCCACATTCTCGGGGGCAGAGCAGGTGGGGTTTGCAGCTGCCTTATATATAAGGTCAGACGATGGGCCCATCGACCTACACTGACTGGCAGGGCCTTTCCAAGGTTTCAGACAGGAAGGGCTCACCCGAGAGGGTTTTCTTTCTGTCCCACCACTTTCCCTGGGGAAACCCACTGTTTACAGCTGAATCAGAGCAAATGTCAATCGGGTGTTCTGCAGATCGACTCTCGTTCCAATACAGCAGTAAACCTCGGGTCTTTCCGGGGAAAGCAGTGGGGCAAAAGAAAGTCGTCTAGAACCCCTGCCAAGAAGTCATGGACCAAACGGAAGAAATTGCAGGGCAAATGGAAGTGTGAGTGAGCATAAAGTGTCTCCTGGCCCTGGCATCTTTCCTGGAGGTGCCAGGAATTGAACCCAAGGCCTTGGGCATTCAAAGCAGATGATGTACCGTTGAGCTATGGCTTTGCCACCATGCATATTGGTGGTGTCAGCATCGCCCTTGAGCCAGTGCACCAACTGGACTCATGCACCTCAACCCCGACTGGGCTAGGCGAGCTGGGTAGCACTGCCAGAGACATCCTTTCTCACAGGAACAGGTCACAGTGCTGTGGACTCACAGCTTAGAGCTGAGAGCACCAGATTCACTGTCTCAATAATACAGTCGTCACACAGCAGAGTATAGCAGAGTCTAGCAGAGTATATAAATGACTCGGAGAGCAGCTCTGTAGAATATCTTCCTTTTATTCTGTAACTACAACTATGATACAAAACTATATACAGAGCTGAATATTCTAAGCATAAATCAATGCTACACTGAGAGTCTGCAGCTGCTCTTAGCAGCAACCTTATCTCTACGATCTCTAACACTCTCTCTCTCTCCGATACACTGACTGACTGACTCTCTCACACAGAGAGACAGATTGATGTGGTGCTGGGCAGAATAAGTAGATAGCAGGACACGCCTCCTCCTCTCTGGAGAGTCAGCAGAGACCATCAGGAGATTCTTGGGTATGGGAGGGGTGCTAGATAAATAATAGTAGTAGTCCAAAAGCATTCCATAACAACAACAACAACCTTTAGGAGACATCTGAAAGCAGTCCTGTATAGAGAAATTTATTAACGTTCAGTGTTTTACTCTGTTTTTATATATGTTGGAAGCTGCCCAGAGTGGCTGGGGCAACCCAGTCGGATGGGTGGAGTATTATTATTATTATTATTAATATTATTATTATTATTATTATTATTATTATACCCCCTCCATCCGACTAGGTTGCCCCAGCCACTCTGGGCAGCTTCCAACAAATAGAAAAGCAGAATAAAACATCAGACATTAGAAACTTCCCTATACAGTGGTACCTCGGGTTAAGAACTTAATTTGTTCTGGAGGTCCGTTCTTAACCTGAAACTATTCTTAAGCTGAAGCACCACTTTAGCTAATGGGGCATCCTGCTGCCGCCGCGCCGCTGGGGCACAATTTCTGTTCTCATCCTGAAGCAAAGTTCTTAACCCGAGGTACTATTTCTAGGTTAGCGGAGTCTGTAACCTGAAGCGTATGTAACCCGAGGCACCACTGTACAGTCATACCTCAGGTTACAGATGCTTCAGGTTGTGTTTTTTTGGGGTTTCGGACCTGCCAAAACCCGGAAGTACCAGAACGGGATACTTCCTGGTTGCGGCAGTTGCACACGTGCTTTGCGCATGCACAGAAGCGCCGAATCACAACCTGCGCGTGCGCAGACGCGCCACTACGGGTTGCGAACGCTGTGGGTTGCGAACATGCATCCTGCACAGATCACGTTTGCAACCCGAGCGTCCACTGTACAGGTCTGCCTTCAGATATCTTCTATATGGGCTTTCCATAACCGCAACTACACATTATCCATTCATACCAAATGGACTTAACACCCACAACCTTCCAGGCTGTGAGCGCACAAGATGTTTCCTACAAAGGAGAGGTATCCCAATATTACAGCGCTCTTTCATTAATTAACTCGTTTCATGACATTAAACGTGGTAAACAGAAATGCAGCCGCCCTAGAGAAAGGAATGAAACAACCTCCACGTTGCAAGAACAACCGCTTTCTTCTTACCTCCGGGCTCCAGGCCGACGAGCTGTCCGTGGCGTCGTTCCCTTCGAATCCTTGGTTGCTAAAAGCCGTCTCCATTTCCAAGCTCCCTTCCGTCTCTTGCCGGCTGAGGCTGGGCGTCGCGCTGACCTCCACCCCGGGGTCTTTGGGCTGCCCAGAGCCCCTGCTCTCCGACGCCGTTCTGGAGTCGAGGGATAGGTGGTCATCTTCGTGATAAGAGAGGTTGTCTTGGTAACTCAGTTGGCTGAACCCGTCTAGATCTAGCACATTTTAAGAGCAGAGAGAAAAATAATTTCGGGGGGGGATTAAGACCAGCCGTTTCTTTATCCCTCAAATGTGCAGATGCTTTAATCCGCTAAAGACCAGGGCCTAGAAGTGATAACTATGCATGAGGGACTTGGGAATCCTGAGTCTCCAAAGGAAGAACGCCTCTTTCCAACGGAATGGCAGCGAAGGAGCCAAACTAGCTTCTCCCTTGGGAACCAACTGAAGGGCCTCTTCGCACAAAACCTAAGGAGTTTTGTTTTGAAGGGCACACCTGAAAATGTAGGGTGAGTGACGAGCAGCTGTTTGAGAGCATGTGCATCATGTACATGGAAGTCAGTGTGGAGAACCTCTGCTGCCTTGCGTGACATCTTTGGGAGAAGAAAAGGCTACACAAATCCAGAGTGAAGTCCCTAAGATGCAACGGCGCCTTGTACGTCTTATTCTGGCAGGGATGCCAACTATAGGGGGCAGAAGGGGCTTCAGACCCCTCAATATTTGTAGGCAGAGGGCTGAGCCCTCCCTCCAGTATTGAAAGCTCCCCCTGTGCTCCAGAGGCTTCACATTGCTTTCGCTGAAGCCGCCTGAAGCCCCCAGAGCGCAGGGAACTCCCGCTGTGCTCCGGGGGCTTCAGGCAGCTATCCGCAAGCCTTCGGAGCGCAGCAGGAGTTCCCGCTGCGCTCCGAAGGCTTGCGGATAGCTGCCTCAAGCCTGGAGAGCGAGAGGGGTCGGTGCACACCGATCCCTCTTGCTCTCCAGGCTTCGATTCGCTGGAGAGGCGCTGCACAGTTTTCCCTCTCTGCGCAGCGCCCCTTCAGTGAAGAGGGGGGAGAAGTGGAAGGGGCTCCGTTTCTCCTGCCGCTTCGCTGAAGGGGCGCTGAGCAGAGAGGGGGAGAATTCCCCCCTCCCGTTCTCCCCCTCCTATGGTCCGGTGCGTCCTTATAGAGCAAAAAATATGGTAATCAGAACACCCTGTTTCTCTATATCAGGGAAGGAGAGCCTCGGGCCCAGAGGCTGAATGCGGCCCTCTAGACCTCTGCACTTGGCCCTTGGACTTCTCTCCAGGCCACATCCCTCACTGGCTCTGCTATGCACCCTCCGTCCCTGTTTTTGCCTGGCTAGATGTGCCCTTGAACTCAGATAATGTCTCTTGCTTGTCTGGATGGATCTGTCTTGGGCGCTTCAGCTGAGATTCCTGCATTGCAAGGAGTTGGACTGGATGACATTTGGGGTCCCTTCTAATGCTACGATTCCATGATTCTATGACAGAGACAGGGGAGTGCAGAAACTCACATGCTCGACTAAGCTAAGACGTACACTTGATGCTCTGCCCACTTCTGCCTTTGCTCAGTCGACAGAGCACAAGGCTCTCAATCGCAGTGCTGCGGGTTCGAGTCCCAATTAGGGCAAGACCCCTGCATTGCCAGGGGGCTAGACTAGATGACATTGGGGTGTCCCTTCCAACTCTGCAATTCCACGGTTCTTGGAAGTTGCCCAGAAGCAGCCCTGCAGTTGAAAAAGCTTCCCGCTCCCCTGCTCTGAATTATTTCTCCTGCACCACACATTTACCATCCTTCATTTGCTAGAGAAGAGGGGCAGGGAGGTGGAAGAAGCCACCCAGGAATAATGGGAAGCCTTTCCTTGGGCAAAACTCTGCAGGGGTGCTCTTAGCGTTTCAGCTGCGCTCAAGTCTGCAGCCTATGAAAGCCCTGCTGGAATCAGCACAGCTTTATACCGTATGTTTTGCCCTATAAGACTCACTTTTTCCCTCCTAAAAAGTAAGGGGAAATGTGTGTGCGTCTTATGGAGCGAATGCAGGCTGCGCAGCTATCCCAGAAGCCAGAACAGCAAGAGGGATTGCTGCTTTCACTGAGCAGCGATCCCTCTTGCTGTTCTGGCTTCTGAGATTCAGAGTATTTTTTTTTCTTGTTTTCCTCCTCCAAAAACTAGGTGTGTCTTGCGGTCTGGTGCGTCTTATAGAGCGGAAAATACGGTAGTTTGGCCCTGTGCATCTTCACAAGCCCAGTCGGTTCAATGGGGCTTCCAGCCAAGTTAAAAGTGTGCATTTAGGTTGAAAACCACATGGTCCCGTTCTTATGCACAGAACGGGTCCAGATGGCGTTTCCCCACTCCCCAAACCAAAGGCTTATGCTTATGAAGGCTCCCAGCTCTGCTAAAATCAAACAGGAATCGGCTCACGCAGCAGATTGCAGCTCCGAAATCAACAAGGACACGATTGATATATATACATTTGGGGCACGTCGGAGCGGTGGGCTGAAAAGGAAGGTTTTATAAATGTAAAAAAGAAAAAGAGTAAATAAAAAAGCGCCGCAGGCTTTTCAGAATAGAAGACGTGCCTTTCTAGTGAGAAGTTACATTACACACTTCCCACACAAAGTTTGCCTCCCCACTGTGCCTTGTGGATTTGGTCTGCAGCCAGGATGTTGGCTATTATTAAGGAATGCGGTTTGAGGGATTCAGTTGGGATGGCTGAATCCTGCAGACTAGGTGGGTGAAAACTGTGTTCTGTAAAATCTCGGGGTTCCCTTGGCAACGTTGTACAGTAGTACCTTGGTTCCCGAACTCAATCCGTTCTGGAAGTCCGTTTGACTTCCAAAACGTTCGCAAACCAAGGCACAGCTTCTGATTGGCTGATGGGCCCCGGAAACAATGCCGGCAGCTGAAACGGACGTTCGGCTTCTAAAAAACGTTTGCAAACCGGAACACTTACTTCCGGGTTTGTGGCGTTCAGGAGCCAATTTGTTTGGGAGCCAAGCCACTCAGAAACCAAGGTAGCACTATATAGGTATGTGGGGGAGCCAATGATTGCAGGGTTCCCCAGGGAGAAATTCAGTACAGTGGTACCTCAGGTTAAGTACTTAATTCGTTCCGGAGGTCCGTACTTAACCTGAAACTGTTCTTAACCTGAAGCACCACTTTAGCTAATGGGGCCTCCTGCTGCTGCCACGCCGCTGAAGCCCAATTTCTGTTCTCATCCTGAAGCAAAGTTCTTAACCTGAAGCACAATTTCTGGGTTAGCGGACTCTGTAACCTGAAGCGTATGTAACCTGAAGTGTATGTAACCTGAGGTACCACTGTAATGGCGAACAAGTTTTCCTGAAAAGATTTTCCCTTGCAAGGAAGGGCAGCGTTGAGGTTCATCCTCAGGCACAAAGAGAGACCTAGGAAATGTCCTGCAGGAAAGTGAGTGTGTTCTGTAGAATGCTTCCCAGAATTCTCTGCCATTCGCAAGGTTCTCTGGGAAGTTGACCCAGAGAATCTTGGGAGATGCGTTTTTCTCGGGTTACCAACTGTTTCGTTACACCTTTGCCGTTTTCATCACGAGAGGGTGCGCCTATCAACTGAGATTCAAAATGCAGAATCCTTTCAAGTCATGGGGAAACAGTGCGCGCGCACCAGCACATCAGTGCATTTTTTACTGCTTTTGCCATTTCCTCCATAGCCACAGAAAACTTGTTGGACTTCTCAGAGCAAACCATCTCTTGTGTTTGACTGCTTTGTTTTTCTTTTTGGACAGGGCTGGATAATACCTTCGCATTCAGAGGCCTCGGAGCTGTACTCTTCGTGGTTCGACAGCAAGCGGTTGAATTTGGGCCTGCGCTCAGAACCGGCTTGCGTCCCTTTCTCGGAAACTCCCGAACGGAAGCTCTGCGAGCGCGAAACGGAGATCTCAAACTGTTTGATCACCTCGTCGTCGCTGTCCGAGGAGGTGGTCAGGTCTTCGTCCTCCCCGAAGCTATTCACTGGGAGAAAAGAGCACACACACAAACACATACAAAGAGGAATTTTGACAGCTCGTGGAGAAGGATGCAGAGAAAACGACAGTTTCCAGATAAGAGAGTGGCTTTCAGAAAATGAGAAACAAGTCACTTGTAGCATCGGTCACTAAAAAAATGTAGTATAAACACTGACAACTGGGAAACACTGGCCTGCGAGTGCTCCAGTTGGAGAGCAGCCTTTACCAAAGGTGTCATGGGCTTTGAAGACACTCGAACTCAGGACACAAGGGAGAAACGTGCTAGGAGGAAGGCACGCTTGGCAAACCCACACTGTGATCAACTCCCACCCAGAAACCAATGTCCCCACTGTGGAAGGACGTGTGGATCCAGAATTGGCCTCCACAGTCACTTACGGACTCATTGTTAAAACCGTGTTTATGGAAGACAATCTTACTCAGCTACGAGTGATCGCCGAAGAATCATAGAATCATAGAGTTGGAATAGACCACAAGGGCCATCGAGTCCAACCCCCTGCCAAGCAGGAAACACCATCAGAGCACTCCTGACATATGGTTGTCAAGCCTCTGCTTAAAGACCTCCAAAGAAGGAGACTCCACCACACCCCTTGGCAGCAAATTCCACTGTCGAACAGCTCTTACTGTCAGGAAGTTCTTCCTAATGTTTAGGTGGAATCTTCTTTCTTGTAGTTTGCATCCATTGCTCCGTGTCCGCTTCTCTGGAGCAGCAGAAAACAACCTTTCTCCCTCCTCTATGTGACATCCTTTTATATATTTGAACATGGCTATCATATCACCCCTTAACCTCCTTTTCTCCAGGCTAAACATGCCCAGCTCCCTTAGCCGTTCCTCATAAGGCATCGTTTCCAGGCCTTTGACCATTTTGGTTGCCCTCCTCTGGACACGTTCCAGTTTGTCAGTGTCCTGACAAGAAGAAGAAGATAAGTTGAGACCTGCTGGGTGAGTCCAGCATCCCGTTCTCACAGGGGCAAACTAGATGCCTGTGGGAAACCAGCAAACAGGATTCAAGCACAAGAGCCCTCGCTTCCAGCGACTGGTATTCAGTAGCCTTGCTGCCTTGAACTGCAGAGGCAGCCATCATGGCTAGCAGCCATCAATAGCCTCTCCTCTAAGTGACTTCCCTTGACTTTCTATGTCCCTTCCTCTTGGCGGAATCAACTAGAAATATTTCACTCCTGCTACCCCAATCAATTTTTCCTTTCCTTTCCAATGAACAGGATGGGTGTCAGTGGAGAGAAGTTGTAATGGGGGTTAGCATTCACTTGCTTCCATTTAAAATAATCGTCAAAGCGGCGATGATATACCGGGTAAAGGTCAAGGGACCCCTGACCATTAGGTCCAGTCGTGGCCGACTCTGGGGTTGCGGTGCTCATCTTGCTTTATTGGCCGAGGGAGCCGGCGTACAGCTTCTGGGTCATGTGGCCAGCATGACTAAGCCGCTTCTGGTGAACCAGAGCAGCGCACGGAATGTTGTTTACCTTCCCGCTGGAGCGGTACCTATTTATCTACTTGCACTTTGACGTGCTTTCGAACTGCTAGGTTGGCAGGAGCAGGGACCGAGCAACGGGAGCGCAACCCATCGCGGGGATTCGAACCACCGACCTTCTGATCGGCAAGTCCTAGGCTCTGTGGTTTAACCCACAGTGCCACCCGCGTCCCATATACCGGGTATAGGGCGGTATATAAATTCAATGAAGCAGAAGCAGAAGCAGAAGAAGAGTGGTACCTCGGTTTTCCAACATCTTGGAAGTCAAACGTTTTGGTTTTTTAATGCTTTTCAGAAGCTGAACGTGCCATGCAGCTTCCGTATTGAGTTTTCCAGAAGTAAATGCTTTGGTTTTCGAACGTTTCGGAAGTTGAACGGTCTTTGGGAATGGATTACGTTTGAAAATGGATTACGTTCGAAAACCGAGGTAGCACTGTATTTTCAGGCTTATTGATGCACATAAAAATATGACACATTTCTGCCAGCGAGCATCAAATCCAGAGAGCCTCTACTGCTGAGCAAGCTCCAAACCTCTTTTATTCTGTCAAGCACCAAGGAACATGCAGATGATCTAGGAAGGTGCCTTCTATTAAGTCAGAGCATTGGGTGAATCTACTTCAGTACTGTCTGCACTGACTGGCAGCAGCTCTCCAGGGTTTCAGCCACGGAGTCTCTCCCAGCCCTGTCTCAAGATGCCTTTAGGCAACAGCTTTGGTCCCCAACTCCCAATAGCTAGCAGGACCAGTGGTCAGGGATGATGGGAACAACACCTGGGAACACTATTTTGAGAAACATTGTGGGATGAAAACCTGGGGCTTTCTGAATGCAAAGCAGATGCTCTTCCACCAAGGAGGAAAACAAAGCAAAAGAGTTTGCAGCAATGCCCTCATCTGGGCAAAAAGATCATATTTGCAGTTGAAATAATACAGCCATGCAGACCAGCAAATCAAGCCTTGTTTCAGTCTTGCCCCTCCCACCCCCAACGTTGTATGCTAGCTATCTGCAGCTTTTTGCTGCACAGTTCAGGCAATTTTCCAATTCGTCACCTTAATATTCCGTTCATTAAAGTGCAAAAAAAGTTCTCTAAGGACTCTTGAGAGTCCCATGGACTGCAAGAAGATCAAACAGATCCATTCTTAAGGAAATCAGCCCTGGGTGCTCACTGGAAGGAGAGATCATGAAGCTGAGGCTCCACTACTTTGGCCACCTCATGAGAAGAGAAGACTCCCTGGAAAAGACACTGATGTTGGGAAAGATGGAGGGCACAAGGAGAAGGGGGCGACAGAGGACGAGATGGTTGGATAGTGTTCTTGAAGCTACCAGCATGAGTTTGACCAAACTGTGGGAGGCCGTGGAAGACAGGAGTGCCTGGCGTGCTCTGGTCCAGGGGGTCACAAAGAGTCGGACACGACTAAACGACTAAACAACAACAACAAGGATCAGAAGCAGGAGGTTCCTTGATAGGATCTGGGAAGATCCACTAACCAGCACTGAATAACATCTGGCATTTATTAAAAACATACAAACTCCATCCCACCCCAAGCCAAGCTCTGACCTGGAAAGGCATAGATATACTCGAGCTAAACACAGCAAGAGTGTATACAATTCCATTGATGGGAATTGTAATCCAAATATTTGAAGCACCCCAGATTGGCTAAGGCTGACTTAGATCACGCCGTATGATTCTGCTTGCTCCTTCCTGACCTTGCTGTCCCCTGGGTGACTTCGGGTGCCCTTTGTAGCAGACCTCCCCACCTGGCATCATCCAAATGTTTTGGACACCATCTCCCATCAACCCCAGTGTCAGGGACTGGCCGGCTGATGAGGAGTGCTGCCAGCCAGGGAACCCCCTAGGGAAGCCTTAGAGGAGGAAGACTCAGAGCCCGGGAAGTGGTGGTGGGACACTGAGGGCAGGTCAGAGGGAGAAGGGGAGGAATGGTTGGATGCCGAAGAGGCAACAGGCTTTAGCGAGCAAGAGGAGCCAGGTGCAGAAAGCAGTTCGGACTCAGCAGATGAAGCAGAGGAGGAGGAGGAAGACAGATGCTGCAGAAACATGGCAGGAGCTTGCTGCTGCTACTGTACTAAGCTCCTCTCCGCCCTTGTCTCCAAGGACACGGAAAGCTATGTGCCTAGAAGAACAAAGAGCACCGATTCGCCTCACCCAACATAGTTTGAGGCTGCTTGGAAGGAGTCTTAGAGGAAAGTAGAAGGCGAAGACATTCAGCCCTGACAACTGTTTCATAGGGGCCAGTCCTGCTTCTAGGCACTGCTGCCTTGCAAACTTTTTCCTAGAATAAAGAGGACTCTGAACCAGCCCTGACACCCAGCTAGCATGACCAACGATCAGGGATTGTGGGAACTGTAGACCATGGACCTCAGGGTGGCACCAGGTTGGCAGAGGCTGGTATATACTAGTATACCAATGTTTTTGTGCTTGATGGTGTAAGTAAGAGAAACAGACCCTCAAGTGCAGAAACGACTCTGTTCCCCATCGCAGGCGTTGGTCGTGCCGAAAAACTGCTGCAACCCGCCTCTGCTGGTGCCAGAACTGTGTTCCTTTATTCCCAAGGGTAAGCAACACAAAATAGTAACACACCCGACAGCTGGTGTGTTCATATGCTCCTGAGCTCCCTTTCTAGCGTGCGCACACACACGCACACACCAGCTGTCCCTCGCACCCACCGCTCCACAAGTTCCCAAAGGAAAGCATCCTCCTGTTCTGTTTTCCCCTGGCGCAGATGGCTGGGAAATTTGAGATGCGGCACAGCGCCTCTTTTTTTAATTCCAATTAGCAGGGGTGATGGCATCGGAACATCTGTTCTTTTATAACCAAGGATCTGCGCTGGGCTCAATCTCCGGCAAGGTTGTTTTCCCCAAGGCCAGAGCTCACCCTGGAAGTACCTTGGAGGCGCCGTTTAAGGACGACACGGGGAGGGCAGGGTTTTCAGGCTCAGGCGCAAGTTAGGGAGAGCCAACGACAACGTAAAACAAAGGGCACTGTACTGATCCCATCGGCAGGGAAAGGCACATGAATTTGGGAGAGTCCGGGCTGCAAGCAGCATCAACGGCATACCCTCCAGCATTCCACGGGGTCATAGAATTGTAGAGTTGGAAGGGACCCAAGGGTCATCTAGTCCAACCCCCTGCAATGCAGGAATCTCAGCTAAAGCATCCATGACAGGTGGCCATCCAACATCTGCTTAAACACCTCCAAGGAAGGAAATGCACATCTTTCGGAGCCGTACTTCCACTTGACATGAGCCAACAGTGTGACGCGGCAGCTAAAAAAGCCAATGCAATTCTGGGCTGCATCAATAGGAGTATAGCATCTAGATCAAGGGAAGTAATAGTGCCACTGTATTCTGCTCTGGTCAGACCTCACCTGGAGTACTGTGTCCAGTTCTGGGCACCACAGTTCAAGAAGGACACTGACAAACTGGAACGTGTCCAGAGGAGGGCAACCAAAATGGTCAAAGGACTGGAAACGATGCCTTATGAGA